CTAAGCAAACAAAAGTGGTTCCACATGGCTGATAAAAAGCCCGATCAAGAATAGGAAAGAAAAATGTTTCTACTTGTCTAGCTGCCTCCGGAAATCTGCAGATCGAAGACTGAATTATTTTGCCTCTACTGCAGTGTATGTAATCACTGAAGTCTGACCATATCTCCATTCAAATGAGAGGGAAAATGTCTGATGCATTCAGCTAAACAAAGCCCAGTGATTCCACGCTGAAATCTAATGAGAGCCATAGCTATACATGCAGCCCTGAAAGCTTTCCTCCTCTTACATCTTGCAATCTATATTCTTCCCACAATGCTGTGAAAGTAAAGAATTTGGAAGACAAATTGAGAACTATGCTCAGATATCTTTGTTGAGAAGAGTGACTTTTAAGTACCGTAACATTTATGTGTTATTTTATGCTAATTAAAATAAATATAATAAATGTTTTCTATGATCATTCTTATACTTACACAGTACTTATACAGAACAGAACTTGTAAAATAATATAAACATTCTGCTGGAACATAAAAGGACACCTGTTTGTCAGCAAAAAGTGTACTGTATGACTGCCGAAAACAGCACTCTCATCTCTTGGATGCAGTCCCAGTTGCACACCCAGTGTATCTCCTTTTCTTTCTGATAAAGTATTGCAACACTGCAGCTTACTGTACCATGTATGAGAGAAAATAGCTGATGCCTAATCTGCTGATACAGAAATGCAAACAGCTTCTCACGTCATACCTCTGCTAATATGTGAACAAATATTTCTAAACTTAGGTTGTTATAAATAGGGATTCACAAGGAGAGTTCGATAGAGCCACGTAGTGCAAGTGAGCTTTTAAGAGGTAGAGCAAGCAGTCCTGTGAAATGAGTCCCATGAAATAATGCAAGAAAGGTGGAAATAATACAAGTACTTATCTAAAATTGCACTTCCTGAAAAATGTGACCAATATCAATAGGAATATTTCTGATATTAGACACCCCTCAGCGAGAGTAAGGTAACATGTATGTACTGCTTCGAAAATAATAGAATTGTGATTAACAGTCAAGACAATCTTACAAACAATTGTGGTTTTTTGTTGGTTTGTTTTGCTTTCTTTGTTTTAACTACTGCTAAAGAGGTAGAGGAGAAGGAAGCAAGCAGGGAGATGCACAAAAACTAGGAAGATTGTCTAATAGATCTGTTTAAATTCTCAGTCTCTTCTACTTTTCTTGGTTTTCTCCCATCTCCAACTGTTCCCGATTTCATTTTTCCCCAGAGTTCATTTTTCCCCATCACCAGAGTGCCTTTTCGTATCCACCCTACCAGGCATTGCTTCACTCCTCTTCCTTGGGAGTTTCCGTTCTCCAATATTCAGTACACTTATCCTTGATTTAGCAATTACCTCATCTTGATACAAAAAATCTATAGAAGAAACATAATACAAAGATAATGATGTGAAAAACAGTGTAGAAGCAGATTAATTTTGTTGGCTTTGTTGCTTGTTTTGTTTTTCTGTTGTTTTACAGAAACAGTTTTACATTGTTCTTTCAGTTAGACAGAATCAGGATGGAAAGAGTCAAGGATGGATTATGTATGGATCCTTCCCCGTATGAGGCTTCTGGTACTTGCCCTGGGGAGAAAGCAGAGAGGCAGAACAGGGAAACTGTAAACATGTCCTGGTTTCAGTTGAAATAACTCTCTTCCAAGTGGCTGGTATGTGCTATATTTTGGATTTAGGAGAAAATCAATGATGGTAACGCCAATGTTTTAGTTATTGCAGAGCAGTACTTACACAGAACCAAAGACTTTTCTGCTTCTCGTGCTGCCCTGCCAATGAGGAGGCTTGGGGTGCACAAGGAGCTGGGAGGGGACACAGCCAGGATGGATGGATGTCCCATTCCATATGATGTCACACTCAGCAATAGAACTGGAAGGCTGGCCAGGTGAAGACCATTGCTTGGGGGAATGCTCCTGAGGGACTGGCTGGGCATCAGTCAGTGGGTGGTGAGCAATTGCATTGTGCATCACTTGTTTTGTAATATATATATATATATATAGATAGATAGATAGATAGATAGATAAATATATAATATATATATAATAATAATAATCATTATTATTATTTTCCCTTCCTTTTCCTATTAAAGTCCCTTTATTTCAACTCACAAGTTTTTACTTTTTTTTTTTTTTTCTGATTCTCTCCTCCATCCTAGTCGGAGGGTGAGGAGTGAGCAAATGGCTGTGTCGTGCTTAGCTTCCTGTGACACAAGATACAGCTCTCTCCTGAAAGTTCTGTAATCCTGCTCAACTAAAACTTATTTTGTTGCCATGCAAAGTATTAGCTCCCTCAGGGCAGCTTAATCAGATATGAAACAACAAATATAAATATCTCTCCCCATAATCCATTCTATAGAGAGTATATATTATCCTCAAAACATTGCAGGATGAACTAAATGAAGAAGAGATATCTCCACCCCAATGAATCTCATAAGAACTGGTGGTACTCAAGGGATCACAATATTTGTTATACATTGATTATCAAACACTTCATTTCCATTAAAGCATCTTTCATACCAATATGTATAATGAATGTACGTTATGCCATTATAATAATATTGCAGTTTGGAATTTTAATTGAATTTCAAATTTAATAACTAACAACTCTAGAGATCGTTTTATATATATATATATATATAAATAATATATATATATAAATAATATATATATATATACATATATATCAGGTTTGATAAAGAGGGAAAGCTTAAAAAAAAAAAACCCACACACAGAAAAAGCTACAAGCTGTCTAGGGGAGAAGACCCTTTAAAGTATAAAGATTTTTTAAGAAAAGTGTTAATTCAAAATTGTTTTTCTGATTGGCCAGAAACAATTACAGAAATTTCCTATCATATTAGATTTTCTGCCACGGAAAAAGAAAATTTTACTGCTGTTTGTGCTGAAGAAAGTAGACAGAACATCATGTTTTTGATTCCCTGTTCAGGTTACAAGGCAGGAGGAAAATCAAAGGATGCTGGGCTTCCTCCAAAAGAACTCCATCTTTTAGCATCATTGTCATCAGTGTTAACATATACTATTTTAAGGGCAAAAGAGAGACAGAACTGAGCATACCCTAGCTTTCTCTCTTAAAGTGAGAATGGAACCAAAGAAATACGGACACAGCTAAACATAACTGATATTCATTACTACTGAGTCCTTAAAGTGCATTCATTTATGAAAAGGCCCTAACTATTAGGTGTCTTTCTTATACTCACCCCTAATTGTTACATGGTTTACCCTTCAGCAAGTCAGAAAGAGTGGGAATTATTAAAGCCTAAAATATTCTAGGATCTTTTGTTTGACAAATCCATTCTGATCACTTCAAAAACAGACAAGCAATGAAATAATGCTGTAAGCTGTAGGAACCAGTGATGCATTCAAGGGCAACATGAATTTTTGAAGACAAGGAGAAGACTAAAATTTATAATGCCTCTTTAGAACACACACACACAAAATACTACAGGTAGGCAATGTACAGAGTGTCATATAACGTACAAAATAAATACTCTGCAGCTTATCTTCATCACACAAAGAAAAGGAATGCCAACATCGGTAATGAAAACCACTTATAGAATACTAAGTTGCCTAGAAACAGATAAATGCATTTAAACTTTCATACTTTGATGAATCTGAAGATAATAATGGAAGAGGAGAAATGCAGCTTTCCTATATGTTCATGTACTGAGTCTACGTGGCAAGGATTTGGTAGCAGGGGTCTGCTCTGTGAGCAGAGTCCAGCAGCAGCTGCCCCATGTCAGATCAGAGCCAGCTCCAGACAGCCCCAGAAGAACCTGCAGTTGGCCAGAGCTGAGCCACGGAGAGATGCTGGGTGGGCCTCTGGGTGAGCAGATTGAAGTAAGGGGAAAAAAAGTGCTGTGCAACTGCAGCTGGGAGAGAGGAGTGAGAACATGTGAGAGAAGCAGCCCTGCAGCCCCCAAGGTCAGTGCAGAAGGAGGGCAGGAGGTGCTCCAGGCACACAGCAGCGGTTCCCCTGTGGCCTGTGGAGAGGCCCCTGGTGGAGCAGGCTGTCCCCCTGCAGCCCATGGGTCCCACATGGAGCAGATCTCCATGCTGCAGCCCATGGAGGAGCCCCCACTGGAGCAGGTGGATGTGGCCTGGAGGAGGCTGCGGCCCATGGAGAGTCCCCGCAGGAGCAGCCCCGGGCCGGAGCTGCAGCCAGTGGAGAGGAGCCCATGCAGGAGCAGGGAGTCTGGGGGGAGCTGCTGCCCACCTGTGGGGATCCTGTGCTGGAGCAGTTTGCTCCTGGGGGATGGACCCCGTGGTACGGAGCCATGTGGGAGCAGTTCTTGAAGAGCTGCTGCCTGTGGGCAGTCCCCACAGGATCAGTTCGGGAAGGACGGCATCCCGTGGGAGGGACCCCATGTGGAGTATGGGAAGAGAGTGACCGTGAAGGAGCAGCAGAGACAGAAGTATTAGGGACTGACTGAAATTCCTGTTTTCCATACATTTTCACAGCTCAGGGAGAGGAGATGGAAGAATTGGGGCTTCAGTTGAGCCTTGGAAAAAAAGGGGCAGTGACGGAAAGGTGTTTTTTGTTTAATTTCTCACATGCTACTCCAGTATTAATTGGTAATAAATTAAATCAGTCTTCTCCAAGCTGAGTCTGCTTTGTCTGTGACAGTAATTGGTGAGCAATCTCCCTGTCCTTATCTTGATCTGTGAGCTTTTTTTCATCTTATTTTCTCTCCTATCCTGCTGAGGAGAGTTAATAAAGAGTGTGGCTTGGTGGGCAACTGGCAGCCAGCCAAAGTTTAATTTTGGAGAGATACTGAGCAATTAAAGTAACAGAACAAAAATTAGTATTTGGCTATATTTATGGCAAAAATACTTTGTACTCTCCACCTGATAGAAAAGTTTGTTTATAATAATATCATCAAATACTATCAAATGTTGCCATTATAGGTCTTTGATAAGAATAATCAATTTAAAAAATGACTCAAGCATAGTACTTTTATTTAAAGCATTCGGTCCATGTGTAAGCAACTGCAAAACCTATAAATCACAGTATTTACTTACGACCATTGCAGCTGTACAATAATTTTTAGATCCACTACAAAATCTACATAATTTGTAGATCCAATCATATAGGACAATAATTACCAAGCATCTCAACCACTATTGATGTTATTTACAAAATTCTTGTTCATTAATTTAAATATGAAGAAACAACTACTGGACCTCTGATCTTAGAGTTCTAATGTTACATTAACAAACTTACCAATCAGAAGCGACACTCCATATTTTACAACTGGTGTCTTTGACCACCTTTAACTAGTGTGTTCACTTTCTTTCATAAAATAAGGTTATATACGGTTACATATATATATATATGTCAGCTCGATCCTTAAAGCATCCACTGAATGCTCCAAGCTTCACCAAAACATAAAGAAATGGGACTAGAAGGGACTTGAGCAATTCACCTGACAAAATCGTCTGCTCCCACGTGATCCCTCAGAGATTCTTCTTTCTCATCAGTGATGGAGTTGTCCCAGCTGCTCAGATATTCTTTCACAGATTCAAGGTATGGAGGAAGGGGAACAGACACAAACAGCCAAGTGATGGAAGGGAATGGAATAGCAGAGGCTTGTTTATGGTTAGTGGACATGTAAAGTGTTGTGTAGGAGGGAGGGAGAACATAACTTCAGAAAGAGGTAATAGGCAAAAGTGAGGCTTCAAAACTAACAGAGTAGGATCTGTTTATGTGTTAGCAACACTTAGAGTCACAGCAATGTCAAAAAGAGGGTGTAAATGAAAAGATGATGGACAAAATAATTTCTGATGCTAACATGAATTATTTTTTATGCTCTTGTTATTACAATTTTCACTAAGATGATTCAAAGGGAAATACAAACATAAGACCAACACAAGACCTTGTATTGTATCAATTTAATGTTCAGTTCAATTTTTCTGTTCATGGAAAATTTCTATAGACTTCAAATAAGACTCATATAAAATCCTTCAGGACAATGTCTGCTTGAGAGTAACCTGGGGTTTTACACAGGTATTTGAAAGCTGTAATGAGCACTCTAAACTCAAGATGTGCTAACCTGGAAGGTAAAGTGCAGTTGCCTTCTTCCCCTTCTGTAAGTCTGCATGTGCACCCTTCTCTTACACAGCATTTGGTCACTTTCTGATCTTGCTATGGGATCTGTATATGTGGGGGGAGTACAATACTGAAATTAATTTCATTACGCAGATGTGAAGACAATTCTTCTGAGTAATTTTCTAATTATATGTTTAATTACAAGAATTTAAGTTTCATTTGTAATTCAAGAGTATAAATATGATAGGCCACCTGATGGTGAATCAACTGTGTGCATCAGCTAATAGTGGTTCTGCACTTCAGCAGAACATACCATAGGATTGAAGGACACAAAATTAGGACCTATTTATAGACACTATTTTGGATGGTAGGATATAGGCCTAAAGGCCATGTGATCAGATGCTGTATTACTCGATGATAATTGGAAGGAGATTAGATAGCTGCACATACTCCATGGACCTAGATAAAAGATCATGCAAATGATGCTCAGGCAGGTCTGAGTGGGCTCAGTGCTCCTGGCATTCCCTTGAGTCTGTGATGAAAAAGCACTGGCAGATGTTTGAGAAGAGCTCCAAACCTGGATTGCATAATGCTGACAATGAAGAAACTGTGGCTAATTTCTACCCTTCATCATCTCTCACCAAGTTTTATTATATACTTATCAGAGGCTGTGAATTTTCAGGAATAGTTTAAAGTGACAAGGGAGGAGGTGAGGGAGGGGAGTCAAAGAATCTTAACATACAAAAATATTTTTAACTTCCAGGGCTTGATGATCCATAGACTTTGTAGGGTACTACTGAAGTCAAAGATTAATTTATGCCTATTGGAAGTATATAAAGCGTTAGGAGCATACTTGCCTCAGGGCAACAAATAGACTTCACAAACCAAACTAATAGGAAAATAGAGAAGCTTGGGGAGATTTTAGCATACCAATGATCCTGAAAGCTAACAGGTATTTCCCTTTGAGTTTTCAACTTGTCCCCAGGATATTTAGGCATGGATCACCAGTTCAAGGATTAGTGCATATATTTCCTCCTCCCAATGCAAGTCTCATTTGTACAGCTGCTGCTTTGGGAAACATTCAATAATCTTTCATTCTGAAAAGTCATAAGCACTAGTGGAAGCCAAGAAGTCCTTTTTGGACATGCACTGCCTCTTTGCTTTGGCTTCCACACATTTGATATGCACATGCAAGACAGAAAAACCTTTGTAGTGAGTTTGTCATGTTCTGAGAGTGAGAAATCACGGAAATAACTGGATGCAATGTTAATGCCTCTTAATTCCCAAGAAAAAACACTAACAGGACAGATGCATTCAAAAGAATGAAAGCAGGAAAATCTGGAACTGAAGCAGAGCCTAACATATGGGATTCAATAAACCTGTCTATAGAAAAGAAGGATGTGGAATTTTGCCAGTAGTCAGCTGAAACTGGCTCTGTTCACAGCCTTGAGATGTATATCCCTTCTCCTCTCCAAGCTTTTCTTTCCATTTGATTACTTCTGCTTCCAGTCCAGAAGGCCAATCAAATTCCAAAGGCTCTTCTTTTTTGGGGGGAGGAGTTGCCCACCTAGTAACAGGATGATCTGGAAACCTTGTGAGAACTGTACTTTAACTTGGCAGACACTCATAGTCCAAACACAGTCTAAACTAAAACCTTGAAGACAGTAGAAAAGCTCCTCATGACTGAAGCCCAGGCCCATAATGCATTTAGAAGTCCCATGCTTGCATACAGCTCCAATGGTATATTTGATCTAGGAAACAATGTGACTTCAGTCAGGCTCCAGTTAGGATGAAGCATGCTGTAGGGATCATGAAGAAATTAAAAGCCAAATTTCTGAGTGTTTTTCCAAGCCAAACAAAGCCACTGAACTTTCTGGGGTTTTCTTGGCACTTCTTGTGCTACTGGGAATTTGAATGGTGCCTGTCCGAGGATAATCGACTCCCTCTGTATGCTATTGTGATTCTCCAAAAAGGCAGCATTTTTCTCAAACTTTCCAGGCATAGTCACATTATTACCAGAGGCTGGACAGAGCAGGAAATGGAATGGGAAGTTGTATGAGATCTGAGTTAATGGCCATGAAAAAAACATGCCCCTGGATCACCTCAACAGGTGATGACCCAGTTACATTAATAATCCGGTACAGGATTTTATTCTCCTTATTTACACATGGTACTCCCATTTAGACTCGTCTGAGTGATTTAGCTTCAGCAGGAAAGAGGAGATTTAAATCTCTGGTTTCTTCTATGCCTGTTTCAAGAAAGAAATTAACTGTACTGTACAAAAGCAAAAGAACTCCAGTCTTTGGAATCTGACTACACTGAAAATAAAAGCAGCAGTGGCATCGTAGCAGTGAGTTACAAACGGAAGTCACTCTTCACTTTTAAACTTTATACTTCAGTAAGGAAGGTCATGATTCAAGTTCTTGAAGTGGGAAGTTTTGCTTGGTTTAGTTTTGACATTTCAGTAAGTTCACCACCACTGGTACACTCCTGAAAAAAAAACATGGATTATCTCAGGTATTTTTCCAACTATTATTCCAGTCAGTATATGTCATTATTTTGAGTTTGAACACTGTGCTGATTGATGCTCAAGTGAATCAAACTTTTTTTTCCTTTTTTTTTTTTTTTTTTTTTCTCAGTATCAAGCAATTCATTAAAAATCTTATTAATTTTAGGAGTCTTGGATTCCCCTTTTCTCTGCTGTGACCTGAATCAGCCAATTCATAGCAGCTAGTCTGACCATTTTGACTCCGTCCAGATCATATTGTTTGGATGTCTTGGGAAATCTACTTTGGAGAAGAAGAGAAAGACAATTTCCTTACCAGTAAGTGATGCTAATTAAATTTTGCTAATAAAATTCTGCAAAGAATTCTTATTAAGTCAACAAAGGAAAAGTTTCATTGCTGCTTTTGAGTAACAAATGTTCTGAATATATTTTTCAGTCTACAGAAATTCAAACAGTACTTTACCACAGACACATACATTTATTATTAGGCTGCAAGAATTCTCCAAGCTTTCTTAGCTTTCTAGATTTCCTTTTCATGCAAAAGTAAAGAGAGTAAAAACAGTAAAATTAAAACTTCAATAACTGCACAAGATAAGGTATTTCTTATGTACCAAACCAAACACCATTATTATTATTACAGCAATGCAACAGATTGAGTGCTAAATAATTGCTTCTCCTCTAACTGATTTTTATTTTGTATTTATTTTTTAGCAGAGGGCAGGGGGTGTAGATGGGAAGATGCTGATTTAAAATTCGTAACATCCCTATGATAAAAGAATTCCCCAAAGGCAACAGCTGTTTAGAGAAGTGAAAGCATTGCATCTTCGGAGGCCATCCAAGCAAAGTATGTTTTTTTCTTCCGGAGTCTGTCACCTAGACCAACGAGTCTAAAAAAATCACATGCAGTTGCCAAAAAATGCCAAGAACACACTAAAGGCTGCAGCAGCGTATATTACTAATCACAACCCTTAGTCCTGTCAATGTTGTAAAAGTTGCTGTTATATAAAAACTATGAAGGTTATTTAACCTATGAGGGAAAAAAAAATAAATAAATAAAAATAAAAATAAAAATAAAAATAATATAAAAAGAAAAAAAAATAGGAATTCATCATTTATAAATGAGAGATCCTACAAACTCTATATGCATTTGTGGCCAAAAGGTAGGGTGCAGGATGCTGGACATAAGACTCCTCCAAGCTGCATAGATACTGAGTGAGAAGCAGGGAGTCAGCTTACAGGTAAAGGCAGGTAAATGAGTGAATGAAAGGTAGAAGCTGCCCAAAGCCTTTGCAAGGGGGAAGAAAGCCCAGAAGCAGGTGGCTGAAGTCAATAACTAACAGGAACAGCAAGGGCTGGGCTGCCAGCTCCCCAGGCCAGCATCGAAACCAGCCCTGAGGAATTTACCCAACTAAGCAGGGTCATTCTGGGAGCACTGTATCCATTGCACAGCAAATAAATTCTAGCTGAGAACTACTCAGACGCAAAATTATACTTTAAGTTTAGCTACTCTTTAAAAAATAAAAAATAAAAAAATCAGACTTTAGGTCTTGCTGAAGCAAGTTTCTTTCTCCCCCTTCATCTTCTCTAGAATTTCTTCTGGACACTTATTTAGTGTACTGTTTCAACTTATGTATGTCTCCAATAAAGAAAGCAGGTGATATCACAGAGAGTTTATGGGCCAAAATATGGCTTGGGGCACACCAGCTAATGTGAGTGTTAGTGGTGCCATTGCCATATTTTGGGAAATTCAGCTCATAAATACAGTCCTTTTAGGAAACAAGCAGAGGAACATATCAGGGATCTGGGGAAACACCAAAAATACTAACCCGATAAAATTGAAGCCTCATATTTAGGTTTATATTCACTTAACAGTGATGCCTCTGGAGCAAGGACTTAATTCTATATAGATAAGATGTTCTCAATGCCTATCAAAAGTCTCAGCATACCCATAACCTGACTTTTCATCCTGCTTGCATTTACACCAACATCATCTTCACTGATGCACTAGCAAAGAGGGACATAGCTTATTTATCCTCTATGCCAGATCCCAGTTAAAACAAGCACTGTTTTTGAGTATTCAGGTAATACATAAAAAATCATATTACTAAGCTCTCTGCCAGGGCCAAGCAAAGGCCATCCTGGGCTGAGAAATCAGTGTCTATAGCAAGCACAGGATGCTGGGGAACCACAGCAGTCTCTGTGACTCTGCCACAAAGCTACATCACCTGGACTCCAGCCTGTGTGAAGCCAGAACTGAAGCCTGAGTGGGTTAAAAGAAAAAAAAAAAAAAAAGGTTTCTGCAGGGAGGTGGGGGATGTTCACATTACTGTGTCAGGGTGTCAGATGAAAGAATTTCTGTAAAGGCTGGTAAAGTCATGAAAAAAAATAGGTTGGAAGAGGCCTCTGGAGGTCACCTAGTCCAACCTCCTGCTCAGAGCAGGGTTGCCTTCAAAGTTAGATCAGGCTGTTTGCACACTAACATCAGAGAGGGAGTGGCTGTCCAGCCTTTGTACTCTGAAATAAAAAAAAAATGTCAGGCAATAGTTACATATTCAGCTAAAATACATACTTGAAGTTAAGGTTCTTATTTATTTCCTTTTTAATTTCAAGATTGGTTCACAAAGTATGAGAGAAGTCCACCCTGTGACAGACAGCATGTTGTCTATAGCTTCATCCTTGGTTCCTGCAACTTTTCTTCTGGCAGTGCAGCTAATCAATGAAGTGAGAGGAAAATTGGGAACTGGAACTTGGAACCCAGAGCTGATTTTACCACAGTTCACTGAATGGTCCTAGCAGTCCACTGCAGCTAGAAGCAAACCCTATCCAAAACACAAACCCCTCTATCCCCCAAGCATCAGCTTGAAGTTCTACCCACCACTCCTCTCCTGTACTTTAAACATTTGCCCTGTCTATAATACAGTGATTTGCTAGCTTACCCTTCACACACAGCACAAGAATACATGCATTGTAATAGGGAACTGCAGAAGTCTAGCAATGTACAAAAAAGGAAGCAGTTTTATTAAGAAAATATATATATTATTTTTCCCTCATTAAAAATGTTTAATCAATGTTTAATTCATGTTTAATGCATGTATTTGCATGACAATTTACTTCTGCCTTCTTGAATACCATGGCAAGGTATTGGTAATTAAAACGTACATAATATATCTGCTCAAAATGAGTAATGAACATTGAATGATATTGCGAGTTAAAATTATAAAGGATTGGGTTGAAACTTCATGCCTGCAGCAAAGGTAGGGCACGAATCACACTACCCTGGGAGTGACGCTGTGACTCAGATATACAATTCTCTCCTCAATTCTTCCTTGCTCCTAGCACATAATAGTTCACTCCTGAGCTACTCCAGTTGTAAAATTTGACCCACCCTATAATGGCTCATCTACTGTTTATATAACCCTATGCTTTTTTTGTGGTTTCCAGATATGTTGCAAAGACAGGACAGGAAAGTAAAACCAAGGGCTTCACACACTTTTATATCTGCCTTGAGCAATAGCCTGGGAGTTAACTAGATGAGAGCTGGGCATACATTTTTCAGATGAGGCAAGAAACTCAAACTAAGAGGAGGAAGAAATCTTGTTTAACTACATATTTAACAAGGCTGACAGAAAAAAAAAAAAAAAAAAAAAAAAAAAAGACAAACTGAGCTTCAGAGCACAGGCAAATGAATACAGAAGAACCATGCAGTTGAAAAGTCATGAAATATAAAGCTGTAGGAAACACTATGAAATTACTGAGTTAAATAAATAAATAAATAGCAAAAACCAGCATTGAGCAATTTAAGTGCTTTATAGAAAATAAAAATAAAAATAAAAATGTCCTAGTACCTTACAGAAGGGAAATGTCACTTGAAGGTGATCTCAGGAACAATGCAAGATTTTCAAGCATGTCAGAAAAAAAGTCTATCTTAAATTATTTCACCTGACTTTCAAATTCATGATTCTATCTTTAAAAGGAGGAATAGGAAAGTCTATAAAGGCCGTTTTCTGTGCCATATTCAATTGAACCTTTTCCTCACCCCAAATCCACTTCTCCCACTGCAAATTAATTTGACAGGTTCCTGGCAGGGCTTCAGCAATTTTGCGTTTCTCTGGAATTAGCAAAAATGCTAATTTTGGCAGTTTGCTGCAAGTGCAAGTTTTTTAGCCTGGCTGAAGTTCCAAGGCTATTTGAGATAATATCAAATCAAAGAACAAAGGGGCACCTGTCATGAGCCACGAGTGAAGGAAAGACATAGTGCTTGAGGAATTAAAATGAGATTTCTTGACATCAAATGGCTAACGCCATAGGTGGAGTGCCGTAGGAACAACTGGGGCTGCGAGCTCTAAATCAGAGTGGAGGGGAGGAGGGAAGACGGAGGGAAACGTGGTACATTTCTTTCAAACTGCTTCCAATGAAAGGGTGGGGATGGCCTTAGATAAGCTTCCTGATCCACTTCCACCGAGACACTGGGAACAATGGGGCGGCAGAGCCATTTGCAGGCAAGGGGACGCGTACATCCGACTGCACCCCTTCCTCTTGGATGAGGTTATGGCTGCGCTCATCCGGACACGGGACCGCGTGCTCACAGGGCACCGTGTCCAGAGCTGACAGCAGCTAGGGCATGCACAAAGCATGGGCACAACGTAACACCCTCACCCTCAAATCGCAGCAGTGGGAAGACAATCAAGCAAAAATCAGCAGCATGATATGAACAGCTTTCCCCACCCTCTGCTGAGTCTTACAGTTTTTTAGCACCATTTTGCAGTCCTGCCTGGAATCTTTTCAGGTTATCCCAAACTACAGACTGCTCTAATTCATATAAACAGGTTTATACTGAAAGTAAGGCCAAATCAGGACTTTGTGCTTATATATTTTTTATACTCTCTATATTATATACTTCATATATATCTATATACTTTACATATGCATATATTTTTGTGTGTGTGTATATATATATATATATATATATATTCCTGTCACAAAAGTTAGATCTGTAGATCTATAAGGTCCAAGACTATAAGGTGAAGCTGCTAATGTTTTGTCCTCTAAAGGGCCACCTAGGATTTACATGGGCATACATTGCACTTGTGGCCACCACCTCAGCACAGCACAGCAAGCACAGGTTATTTCAAGATAGCTTAGATATTGTGACCCCAACACAAATTACAAAGAAGGAAGAAGACATCCCCACAAGCTAGACAGGTGTTTATTCTACTTCAAGCTCTGTTTTTGCAGCAAAATTGTCTTGGCGGGACATTTTTAACCCTTGCTGGTAAATAGAATGGATATGTTCAGATATAACTGCAATGATCAAATAGTCCAAGACTTACCTGCTAAGCTGCATAAATATCGTAATAAAAACAAAAAGCTCACAATTTTCTATGTAACAAAAATCTCCTATATATTCTGTAGCTAATATTTCTTAAAGATGCTTATACTTGCTGAGAAAGTTATTACTCTTTCTGTCATTGGTTGAAACTAGAATATTTTCAAATAGAAATTGTGAGGAGAAAGACAAAAATATGATTGCCTTTTCTTCCATTACCTGCTGCTGCTTCTCCAGAGTGCCAGTAATATATGTAGGCTAAAGTCAAATCTAAAGCAAAATGTCACACTAAGCCAAATTTAAACTGACCATTTGTCTAAAAGCATGATATACCAGGGCTTTTCATTAACAGACAACTACTTCATAGGTTGGTCAAATAAAAGCAAAATAAAATATTTATTCTGCCATTAGGAGTGGAAATTTTAAATAGAAACTAAACAAAAACCCTCACCATCTCAAAACACATATACACACAGAATTCTGAAGTTTCCTTTAGAATTTCGTATTTCAGATAACATTCTTAAGTGGAGGCCTCCCATCAAACTCATGGTTATGTTGCGGAGATTTCTTGCTGCACAAGGAAAAAGAAAATTAGGGAAGCATGACTACATTATTTTCCTGTTCTTATATACTTGCCTCTCAGTCTCCCAGACCTGACCACAGTCAAGGGAACTGAACCCGGGAACTGACTTGGGTGAACCCATGGTCTGCCCACAGCCATTCTTTTGCTAGGTTAACAACAGCAGCTCTAAGGGAACTATGACTGCCCTTAGAGTACATAAAAATTATATCTAAGTTCCTTCTACTTCAAAGTTTATTTCAGTTCATAATCACCTTAAAACCCCTGTTTCCCACAGTTCCAGAATCCTCTTGGTCTCAGCATGATTTTGGTCTTTGGTTTCAGGCCATCACAGTCGTCTTTCGGTGGCCTTACCCAAACGCAAAGTCTTACACAGAGGATTACATGTTCATATGACCCAACGCTTATATCTATAGTGATTTTAGATAATGCCATGCTTGTAAGAGATATAATCCTCATGTTTTGGGACACATGCCAGGGATTTACTGCCTCATGTTAGAAAGAAAATTTCCTTTGGGCAAGTTACAATAGAGTTGTCCCTTTGCAGGGATTTTGACACTTCCTTCCAAAGCACCAGGAATTAACATCAGAAAGGAAATACTGCAAAATCCTGCTTTTCCAAGGATTAAAAGATAAGCTTGCCAAATGTCTCAAGAGACTGAAATAGAAGATAAAATCCTGCTATATAAAATGGGATGTAATTTTAAGACAGGCAATGCAAAGTCAATACCGCTTTTGCAAAACTGCCAGGCAATTGTGATCTTCAGACTTGCTCGGAAAGGAGCACTAACTCACCTCAGGCAGACAAGCCTAAGGAAATATTGTAGGAATGTCTGTCCATTACTGAGGTTAACTGAATGCTAGTGCTGATATTATTTCTGTAGAAAAGGAAAACAATGACATTCTAACTGTAAATGCAGTCATCTATCTCACCTTGACAAGCTATGTGGAGGTCCTGTGGAAGTCTTTAATGTAATTTCAATTGTGAAGCAAGTTGGAGATGCTCATCTGTGAATTTAGTTTCTATTATATGGCAAATTACATGTTATTATCAAAGTATGACAAGATTCATGTTACAAATCATGCAGTTATGGAGGGGTGAACTAGAATATAAACTGCTGCGGAAATACAAAAGAAATCTTTAGTTTGAAAAGGCTGTAGGGCATTTATTACTGTGTTTGAGTCTACTAGGAAACAGAGTTAACAGAAGTTTTGAAATAATACTTTGGAGTATTTGGGAATTTGGACATCCCTTTTCAAATAAATTTATGAACATTCCAGTAGCAGCTGCAGATTCCAAATGACCAAAGCCACATCCATTAGAACAAGAGATCTGTTTATCAGTAGGTAAACAAGACATTTTAAAACATTTCAAACAAACAAACAAACAAAAAGCCCTCACAGACAACTTCTGTCAGTATTGTGCTGTCAAAACAGAATAATAACATGGAGCCTTGATCCAAAGCAAAGTTTGTTTCTGAGAAGCCCTGTCCACCTGGAGAGAATAATGAGAACACAGCCCACCCCAATTTTAGATGTGACAGCACCCCTGAGAGAGCTCAGGAACCAATGGCTTGGAATAGAGTTAAGGGTCTATTGATTTTACTATGTAAACCTGTTTCCAAATTCTGTAACCTGTTGTTTGACCTTTATCTTGCTAGAAGAAACCAAGATATTTAACCTTTAGCCTTAACTTGCAATAAGCATGAAGCAACACCCATAGGCTACTCTGTCCCAGGGGAAGAGCAGAAGGAACTAGATTTTATTTTATTTTTTTTAGTTTGCTCCATTTTCTTGCTGCCAAATTCTCAACAGTGGGAATTTATTGCCGTACTACAAGGCTGTACTGGGGACTGGTTGTACAAAATGTCACAGTCATGGAACATAACCCTTTCCACCAAGACATAACTTTTCCATGTGAATGAAAATAGCTTATCAAGCCTCCTCATCTAACTTGAGGTCTTGTCTTGGCTTCAAATCACATAAGGCAGAGATCTGACATTAAGTCTCCCTGGCCTCAAGGAAGTACTCTAACCACTAGGCTACTGCGGACTAGCCAGTTTTGGAAAGAAACCTCATATATAATCTCAATAAACAATTTGTCAAAACAAACTGCCACAAAAGGTTTCAGTTTCAACTCATAACCATTTTTGAATGAAAACATACTTTGTGGAAAATATCCTAGCCAGCTCTAGTTTCTTTTCAGATCACAGGTAGAGACTAAAATGGGACTGAAAGCATTTCTGAGGAAAAGTCATGTACAGACAGATGGTTGAGCTGTGACCCAGATTCTCTCTACACCAGTGGAAACCCGAAATAACCCTTTGGAGTACAGAAAGATAAAAATGACTGGTACTTCAGCTGTAACAGAACTAGCAGTTAAGAGTCACAGGCTGGGATTTCTGTACTTCACTATTACTTATGCATGTCACTTACAAACTCTGGAGGAAACATAGCTTCCTACACTACACACAATCTCATTGCAGAGGGCAATGGAGGTAAAAATGCTGATAGGAGGAGTGAGATACTTACCTTACAGATATTCAGCTCTGCCTCCCAATAGCATTTATATACAAAAGAGATATTTAAAATATATGTATATATCTCTTTTTCCACTGAAGATTCATTGATAACTTGAACATAGACAGCTAGCCCCCAGCCTTGTAGGTATGTTGGTTTAATTTAAGAAAGTCAGTGATGGCAAACTGCTATTTATAGAGCCTGATGGTCTGACGAGAAAAAATTTGTTCCAACATGTGGCAGACATGTTGGCATTACCATTGACCTTCAGCCAGCCTGCTGTGAAGCTCAGCACTGGAAAGATGGATTTAACTTTATGAGTGAGAGGAAAGTCTGCATGTTCCTCATATGTATCAAGTCTGCTTCTGCTCAGTGCACTGTGAAAAGCATTACCTAGATTGATAGTAGATTCTTACATTTTAATAGTCATATATCTCTATGTGATTTGGCAGTTTTTGACAATATTGTACTTTCTTTGACTAATTAAGAAAAAAAACACCTCTTGCCAAAAAAACCTCCATTAACCAACTAAACAAAAAGCAAACAAAAACAAACAAAAACACACAAACATAAAAAACACATGCACAAAATTCTACTCTATTAGCTACTTAATTTAGACTAAGAAAGTCCACAAAAACAATGAAGAACTAGCCCTTTTTCATCATCCCAGCTCCCTTTCAATCTGTCCAAATGATGGTTTTTGCAGCTGAGGATATGGAGGATAAGGAGCACATTTGTTCTGTTCTATCCAAGATACCCTAAACTCTCTTTCTTGCTCCAGTGATTAGCAGTATAATACCTACTTTTCACATATTGGTCCTGCCAGGCCCAGCCCAACAAGCAAATTTATATCATGCCAAGTAGATCAAATTCCTCTTAGAACATTTCTCAAAGGAAGGACAACCACCTCATTTGTTTCTGTTATGCTAAGGCTCTAGCTTCAGTTTCTTTCTCTGTCGTAGGCATAATTCTCTTAACATCAGGCTATCATAGAAGGCTTCATGTTTGTTCAAGAAGAATATGGAAGATGGTTGAGAGGTCAGCTTCTCTCAGGATCTCCATTTGAAGTTCTTTCACCCCAGGTTGAATAGCCAAATATTCACTTCAGCAAAAGAGACTAGGTAGTAATAAAGAGGACTCTAAAATTACCTTGTTATAACAGCTACAGTAGAACTAAGGCTGTGGTTTTGCTCTGCGTTGGACCCTATAAAACATACAAGTGCTGGGAGGGTAATTCAGTTCCAAATTCTGGGGGCCGAGTTATCTGCACATGAATGGGTTTCTAAACTTCCTTTACAATTAACAATGTGTTGTGAGAAATTTCACTCACACTAAAGCAGACATCTATCCTGGTCAGCTGAAAAGCCCTTTAAACTCTACTGTCTACAGTACAATCTGAGACAGTAAACTGATCTCTAGAAAGCCACTGCATCCTGTTCTGCACATCCAGCATTTCAGATGACTGTTCTACTTTTTTCTCACCTTACAGTTAATGAGAAGTTGACACTGCTAGCTCTTCCTTGTGTGTTCATAGAGACTAGTTTGGTACGTATCATCAGAGAACACCTACCCAAATAGGTCAGGAAGCAAAATAAGCTACAGACACCCTACGTTGTGGATCTCCAGTCGGTTTCAGTTGCAGTTAACCTTAAAGGTATGAGAATTTGGGGGGAAGTGAGAAACAGGTTAAAATTCTTTGAGTGGAGTTAAGACTACATCTTCTGCAGTTTGAACTGCTAGGGAGAAGAGAGAAGAGGAACAGAGAAGTCAGCTGGCCAGACTGTATAACACAAGGAGTTGACTTTGTTCAGCCTGAAGAAGAGAAGGATCCATGGAGACCTTATAGCAACCTTGCAGTACTTAAAGATGGCCTACAGGAAAGCTGGGGAGGGAATATTTGTCAGGGAGTATAGTGATAAGACAAGGGGGAATGGATTTAAACTAAAAAAAGGTACATTTAGATTAGATGTAAGGAAGAAATTCTTCATGATGGAGGTGGCAAGGCACTGGAACAGGTTGCTCAGAGAAGTTGTGGATGCCCCATCCCTTAAACTTCTGGTTTAAGGCCAGGTTGGATGGGGCTTTTGAGGTCTAGTGGAAGATGTCCCTGCCCACAGCATGGTGGGTGGAATTTGATGGTCTTGAATGTCCCTTCCAACCCAAACCATTCTATAATTCTATGATTTTCTTAACCTTCTTCACAGGTTCAGAATTTATAACTACTTATGTCAATCCCCCCAAAACACAGCTATCTACCGCATTGCATCATATACTGTCATATATTATTTCTTTAATCTATGTTGCCATGTAAATATCATCACTTTATTATTATCATGGAGGTGCCTCTGTTCTCATAAAGATTTACTACCCAGGCCAGGTCTTCACAAGTGCTGTTAAATTGTTCTTTTGTAAAAGCTTTAATCTTTTCTTGTGTGTTGAGATGTATGCTTCATATTGGCCCCTATGCAACTGTAATCAGTGCATGGTAAGTGTATACCCTTTTATAGATATGTGGAACAATAGAGATGAGAGATGAGAAATGAGAAATAAGATTACTGTCTTCACAATGTTTCCTAATAATACCAGTTAAAGGGATATTTTCTGCTCAGCTTCACCTTCAAGCTTGCTGGACCTTCAACAGAAAAGACTAAATCTATACCACTTATCACTAACACCTTCAAACTCCTTTAATTCTCTTTGTAGAGGTGGACAGAATAAAGTACTGCCACATTAAAGCTACTGAAAAAGCTCCAACTGACATCGTTTGGAGCCCATACCTTAAATAAGGCCCTTTGGCAATCTTACTAAAATGTAAAGCCCGGTAACAGTATTGCAAATTTTATCCACACAAGCTCAACATAGTAACAGACCAGTTAAAAACAACCTACTGCAAAATTACTCACTTTGGCTGTCTGAACATCAATCAGGGACACATCAAAATGGTTTTAGAAAGCTACCCAGGAG